TGTTCAGTATGACTGCCAGTCAATGCAGGAAAAGGACATCTTAGCTGGGGAGTGCGGTAAAGGACAAGGGCTCAAGGCTTTTGAAACTGACTGTGACTTCTCTCAGACCAGACCTTATGCTTTATGTAGCCCATACAGTATCTACACATAGAGGAAAGCAGATGAACTGAAATCAGTCTACAAACTGCTGAGGTGAGCAAATGGAAGTCACGTTCTGAGGGCAGTGAGTGAATCTCTTTCTTTGGAAGGTGTGTCTGGGTAGTGTTGGTCAGTATGATTATAGAGGGCAGTGAATGGCAAAGTTTATTGATGTGTATTTTATCCTGGTAGGATGAGGCACCAATGGTTTGTGAAGAAAAGGGGCGTATACCTTGTGGTTAAAGGGCTGTCTTAGGAAGATTAACCTAAAGGCCCTAAACAGGATTGTTTAAGGCGTTGGGAATGGAGGTAGAGAAATGAGTCAAAAAAAACCAAAAAATCAAACTCACTGCCATCCAATTGATTCTGAGTAATAGCAACCCACATTGAGTTTCCCAGGCAGTAAATCTTTATGGAAGGAGATTGCCCCATCTTCCTTCCGTAGAGCTGCTGATGGGTTTGAACCACCAACCTTCTGGTTAGCAGTCAAATGCCTTAGGCACTGGGCCACCAGAGCTCCTTAGAAAAAATAGTGAATAACAAATGGAATCGCTTGATACCAGATTAACTAAGGAAAACGCTACAAAATACTGGAAGACAGATCCTCTGACCTGTCATCAGAATGGCTGGGAGGACAGGGGAGAGTTATTCCATGTATTACCAATATGGTATCTCAATTTAATAGTATAAAATATCATTTGCCACAACAATTTTAGTTCACAAGGTCGGTTTTCCTCTCTTTTGTTGTATCTGATGTTCCCTGAGCTTCACAGCACAAAGTACAATGTAAATCTAATAATAATAATAAACAATACAATACCTCAATTTTCAAAAACATTCACATACAAAAACTTATTGAAAGTAAAATGTCCACATTTTAAAAGTAGTATTCCCCCCCCCCCGCAGTTTTCAAATGTCTTATATGGCAATATTACTCATATTGAACCTGACCTTTACTTTTAACACATGAAGGTATTAGGAAGAACAATTTTTGCTTAGTACTTACGGTCCACACAGGCATTAAGATTAATAATCATGTAACCTTATAGTTAGGAGCTCTGGTAGTGTAGTGCCTACGGCACTTGACTGCTAACTAGAAGGCTGGCGGTTCAAACCCACCAGCTACTCCTCGGAAGGAAGGTTGGGCAATCGACTTCCATAGCGATACTGTCTCAGAAACCCAAGGAGGGCTCTCTATGAGTCGGGTCCGACTCCACGGCACATAACAACAACAGCAACCTTACAGTTGATAACAAAATCCAGACATTCTCAACAGGTTAGCCTTTATGGCTGCCATTTTCATTATTAAGAGGGGGAAAAAAAAGTCATCACTTCTCCACGCTATACAAAGACTCAGTAGTAAAACGTCTGGTTATAACCATACGTCCCGACGCTTCCGGGGTTGAGTAATTGGACATGAACTCCCTGAAACCTGAGGACCAGGTCACTCGTTGCGGAGGGGCGGGGCATAGCTAAAATTCACCAAAAGTGTTAAATCAAGATGCTCCCACGCTTATCACCACCAAATCTGTGTCGAAGGTTTGTCCCCTATGTTTCCCTTCTCTGAGGGTGTCCCGGGGGAGATGAAATCTCCCTGTCATCTGACTCGAGTGCCGTCAGGAGCCTTTGGTAGGGGGCCCAGGCAAGAAACGAGCACTTGGCATCTGCCAAGGGTCTTGGCTGCTGTGTGCCCTCATTATAGTTACAGAACACAGCTGGGATTGCCCAGCTCCGAGCCCTCCCCGGAGGGGCGTCTGAGGAGGGAGGAGCTTGACTTGGGGCCGGTGGGCGGGCCCGTCCCTTACCTGTGCTAAGACGGTGAGGCTGCTCTCCGGCGCCGCGAGATTCACGCGGCCCTTGTACCAGGCTACTCCTGCTCCTGTCAGAGCCACTCCAGCCACGGCCGCCGCCAAGGGCGCAGGGCCTGGCAAGGCTCGTCTGCTGACAGCGAGCGCACCCCACAGTCGCCCACCCCAAGTCGCTAGCTTAGCCCCTCGACCAGCCGCCGCCGCCATCTTTGCGGAAGTGCGGCGTTTTAGAATTCGGGAGCGGCCGCCAGGCCTTGAGCCACCTTCCGAGCCCGGAAGCTTTTTGTGCCTGCGGTTCTCGCGAGACTCGCGGTGCCCGCAGCTGCACCTTCCCAGGTCTGGCGGTTTTGATATATGTATGTGGTATAAGTGGGCACAGGCTGGGCCCACAGAAGGCTAGGACTCCTAATGTGTGTCAAAGTAGTACTGTGCTTCATAGGGTTTTCAATGTCTGCTTTCTCAGAAGTAGATTTCCGGGCCTTTTTTCCAGACCCCTCTGTGTGGACTCCAATGCCTACTGTTTAGGAAGGCCATCTTTTCCATAAGGGAAGAACTGAGGGAGAAACCACAGTGTGTGCCGGGCACTGTGCGCGCTGGAGAAGAACGTGCCGGTGGTGTGAGCTAGACACTTCTGACAGGAAAGAGTATTAAGAATTTTGATTAATTGTTTAAGTTGCTTTGTTAATGGGCATGATCTGAGGAGTGGAATCACATCTCTGAAGTGGTTTGGGGTATGAATCCGAATAATTTTATTTTTAAAAAATTTTTTTTATTTAACACTTTGTTTTACTTTCAGCCTTATGTATATATTTAGTTTCACTCCCCATTTACCATACCCAACCCTAACCCAGTCTCCTCCCTTCCCTGCCCAGTAACCCTCCCCCTGTGCCCCTCATATTTATGCACTCCTGTTTGTCCTGCATTTCCTCCCTGTTAATGTTGCCCCTCTGGTGCCCCCTGGTCTATTGCTCTAAGGGGTGTATTTCCATAGAGTATGTGGGTGCGCCATCCTGGGTTGTATGGTCTGCATGTACATCTTGTTAACTATTGGGCTGAGAGCCAGCCCCTGGGAGTGAGTTTTATTCCAGGCACAGAATGTATTCCAGGGCCATAGTATTGGGGGTCTCACCAGACTCCATCTGACCAGTAATTCTGGTCATTATTGAGTTTTTGGATTTTGTTCCACATTTTTCCTCCCACTCTATCCAGGATCTCCAGATTTGATCATTTCCTGAGTGGTTGGCATTGGTAGCCAGGCACCATCTAGTTTTTCTGGTCTCGAGGGCCATCATATCCTAGGGCTGATTGTTTCCAAATGCCCTTCTTTTTTTTTTTTTCACTCTTCTTCACTTCCGATGCTAGGAGACATTAGCTGCATCTTAGATGGCTGCTTGAAACCTTTTAAGACCCCAGTCGCTACTCACCAATGTAGGATGCGGAACAAGGCTTTTATGTATTTTGTTGTGGCAATTGAGTCTGCTGTCCCCCAGTACTATGGTCCTCAGATGGTAGATCCATTGGATCTCTCTCCCATAGTGTCTGGGTGTCTGTGAGGGATTGCTCTGTGTGTGTTCTATTGTTTCTGTAATGTATCAGAAAAATTCTGTGAATTCTTGACAACTAGATTTTCTCTAAACTCCACAGTCTTACCTATACTAAGAATTCTTTAAAAAGTGGTATTTATAATACGTGATTCAGAAATCTACAATAGCTGCAGATCCATTATCAGAACCCAAAAGCCACTGCCATGGAGTCATTCCAACTTATATCTACCCCAGAAGGTTGGCTGTTCAAACTCACCAGCCACTCCATGGAAGGAAGGCAAAGCAATCTACTTCCATAAAGATTTACTGCCTGGGAAACCCAAAGGGGGCTGCTATGAGTCAGAATTGACTTGATGGCTGTGAGTTTGCTTTGGAGTTATAGGACAAAGGACTAGCTCCTAGGGTTTCCAAGATTGTAAATCTTTATTGAAACTAACTTCCTCATCTTTGTCCTGAGAAATCACTGACCTTTTAATTAGTAGCCAAATGCTTTAACTGCTGTGCCACAAGAGCTCCTTTCTCACAAATGATTTTAAATAACACTAATTAGCTTGCCCAGCTGCTACTAAACAACCTCCTTTAAAACCATGTGTTTGAAAATACCGTTTGATGCAGCAATCCCATTACTAGTTATATATCCTAAAGAAGTGAGAGCCAGGACATGAATCGATATATGCACACCCATATTCATTGCAGCACTATTCACAATAGCAAAGAGATGGAAGTTACCTCAGTGCCCATCAACAGAAGAATGGATAATAGATAGGATCCTATACATAGGGAACCCAAGAGACTCAGCTGGAAAACTACTGGAACTAACTGAGAGATTTAGCATAGTGGCAGGATATAAGATCAACATACAAAAAAACAGTTGGATTTCTCTATACTAGCAAAGAAACTGCTGAAAAGAAAATAAGGAAACCAATACTATTTACAATAGTTACCAAAAAGATAAAATATTTGGGAATAAATCTCACTATAGACACAAAAGACATGTACAAAGAAAACTACAGAACACTACTTCAAGAAACCATAAGAGATCTACATAAATAGAAGAACATTCCGTGCTCATGGCTAGGAAGATTTAACATTGTGAAAATGTCAGTACTGCCCAAAGTAGTCTATACATTCAATGCAGTCCCAATCCAGATCCCATCAACTTTCTTTAAAGATATGGAAAAACCAATTGCTAATTTTATATGGAAAGGAAAGAGACCTTGGGTAAGAAAAAGCATTATTGAATAAGAAGAATAAAGTAAGAGGCCTCACACTCCCAGATCTCAAAACCTACTATATAGCCACAGTAGTCAAAACAGCCTGGTATTGGTACACCAAAAGACACACAGACCAATAGAATAGAATTGAGAACCCAGAACCATTGACCTATGGTCAGCTGATTTTTGACAAAGGGCTGAAATCCATTAAATGGGGAAGACATGGTCTCTAACAAATGGTGCTGGCAAAACTGGATATCCATTTGCAGAAAAATGAAATGAGACCCATACTTGACACCATACACAAAAACTAACTGCAGATGGATCAAAGACTTAAATGTGAAACCAAAATCTATGAAGTTCCTCAAGGAAAAAATAGGGGCAACTTTCCAAACCAAATCAAACTCACTGCCATGGAGTTGGACAAGACTCATAAAAACCCCTCCTTGGGTTTCTGAGGCAGTATCACTACAAAAGTAGATTGCCCAGTCTACCTTCTGAGGAGTAGCTGGTGGATCTGAACCGCCAGCCTTCTGGTCAGCAGTCAAATGCCTTAGGCACTATGCCACCAGAGCTCCCAAGGGCAACTTTAGGGACCCTAATATATGGCATAAATAGACTATCTAGCATAACCCAAAACATACAAACAGCAGAAGTTAAACTAGATGAATGGGACCTTTTGAAAATTCAATTTTTATGTGCTTCCAAAGACTTCTCCAAAAGAGTCAAATGAGAACCTACAGATTGGGGAAAAAAATATTTGGCAATGACATACCTGACAGAGGACTTATCTCTAAAATTTATAGAAAACTCCAGCACCTCAACAACAAAAAGACAAAAAATCCAGTTAAAAAATGGGCAGAAGACATGAATAGATACTTCACCAAAGAGAATATTCAGACAGCCAACAAACACATGAAGAAATATTCATGATCATTAGCCAGTAGAGAGATGTGAATCAAAACAATAATGAGATACCATCTTGCCACAGCACTAATAGCAAAGTTCAACAACACAGAAAATAACAAATGATGGTGCGGGTGTGGAGAGATTGGGACTCTCATACGCTGCTGGTGGGACTGTGAAATAATACAACCACCGTGGAAAGCAGTATGGAGATTCCTTAAAAAGTTGGAATTAGAAATACCATTTTATCCAGCAATCTCATTACTAGGTAGAGAAGTGAGAATGAGGACAAGAACAGATATATGCACACCCATGTTCATCCCAGCACTATTTATAATAGCAAAGAGATGGGAACAACCTGTGTGCCCATCAACAGAAGCATGGATAACCAAACTATGATGCATACACACAAAGGAATATTATGCAAAACTAAAGAATAATGTAGAAACTGCAAAACACTGCATAACGTGGATGAACTTGGAAGATGTTATGCTGAGTGAAATAAGTCCATCACGGAAGGACAAATATTGTATTAGTCCACCATTGTAAAAAGTCAAGGAAAGGTTTATATATGGAAGGAAACTTTCTTTGTTGGTTACCAGGGAGCGGAAAGGAGGGTATTACTAGATAGATTGGAAAAGAAAAAGAAGAAAAAAAATTATATATATATATAAATTTTATATGCCAAAGACTACTAGTGGTTACCAATGGCTGCCTAGAAAGGGGAAGCATTTGTTTGTGGGGCATTGAATTTATGCTAATGGTAGTGGAATATTTTGGAAAAGGATAGCAATAATGGTGACACAACATGAAAACTGTCATCAGTGTCCCTGAGCTGTAAATGTGGAAGTTGTTATGTTGGTGAATGTCTTGTAGTGTGTATTTTCACCACCAAAAAAAAAAAAAATGTGTTTGTGTGTGTATTTTCCTACAAACTTTATTTTGTAGCAGTCTTCCTCATACTTTATTTTTTCAGTATTTCAGTGGATATTTGTTTATTTATTTTCTTTTTATTGTGATTTGGATGAAATTTTGCAGAGCTAATTCATTTTCCATTCAACAGTTCATACACACTTTGTTTTGTGACGTTGATTGCAATCCCCACAATGTAACAGCTCTCTTTGCACTTCTAGGTGGTCCCCTTCTCCCTGTGTCCTTTTTTTTTAAAAAATTGTGCTTTAGGTGCAAGTTTACAGAGCAGAGTTTGTTTTACAGTCAACATTTTGTGTACATTTGGTTTCACTCCCCAATTACCATCCCCAACCCTAACCCACTCTCCTCCCCTCCCTCCCCGTAACCCCTCCTCACCCCGTGCCCTTCATAGTATGCACTCCTGTGTGTCCTGCATTTCCTCCATGCGAATGTTGCCCCTCTGGTGCCCCATGGTTGATTGCTCCAAGGGATGCATCTCCAAAGAGAGTGTGGGTGCATCACCCTGGGTTGAGTGGTCTGCATGTACATCTTGTTTACTATTGGGCTGAGAGCCAGTCCCTGGGAGTGAGTTTTATTCCAGGCCTGAAGTGTATGCCAAGGCCACAGTACT